GAGCTACGCTATTGGTGGAAATGTGGTGACGAGAAAACAAGAATAAATTAGTTGGATGAAAAGCGCTCGTTGATACCGTGGGGATTAAGAGTGCCGATTTAGAAGAAACATTTTTGTTCTTGTGTTTTGCGGCTTTCCGAGCTGCCTAAATGTAGGGAAAGGCCGGAAACTGCCATATGCTTTATAGAATAAGTAGGGAGATTAACGTGTCTAGCGACTGGTTTGGCTGCGTCCTAGTCATTTCTTTCAACTTCGCGAAGGTGTTCTCAGAATCGGCCACGAAGTAGTCTGTATTCATATGATTGCACGTATAGATGGTTGCACAATACATTGCACCACATAACACTTTTTGTCTAGTATAATGGCACAAGATTCAGATTCAGTTTTCTTAAACGTTGAATTATTAGGGTTCTGCTTTTTTCAATACTACCTGAATTCAACACTCTCTATTTGCTATAGTGGACAAATTTTTTAACTTTACCAGCTGATTATTTAGAGAGAAACATGAAGGAAAGTCATTTTTTTGTTTATCGGTAAAGTTGCGACTGGATCTAATTGCGTCGGAGTAGCTGACAGGTGGAGCAAAATTCTCGACCAATCACTTTACAGTGTAAAGAGAAACTAATACAATCCCTGACTGTCTTTGACACCGCTCATTTGCAAACTTCTCTTTACCTCTGGACGAAATAAATTTATAGTCCTGTCATAGACCGATTCGTTGTTTTTCATTCTTTCGCTACTTTCTGAACCTAACTGGCTAAAGTCTTTTTCATATTCTAAACACAGTATTGCATTTTTCACACTTAATTTACATCTATTGATGTCACAAAAAAGCCAGCCCTCGTTTTTAATTTACATCTGCCGTCAGCATAAACAATAGTCAATTTTCCTGTTTTCTTATTGTTTAAGCGCTTGACGCAGAATTATTATTTGATAATATGTCTTATCTGTATTTCTTTCGGTTGAAATATGTAAAAATATTACATGGCCATTGCTAGACTTTTTCTGAGCTATGTGCAGCTTTTCATGAACTGAAGTGGATCTGGGACTTGTGAGAAGGTGGTCAAAGGGAGAGCCAAATGCGGTTTGCTTCTATAAAGGGGGGAGGGCTATCTTTAATAATCTACCACCGGAAAATATTCCCAAGCTACTCCAAAACGACTGAAAAATATGCCGGTATCATCTCAGTTTAGTAAGTTTGTCGAACATTTTGAATACCTCCGAGATCCGCCACAAACGAGTACGTAATTTATTCGTAATAATTATTTGGGTCTCTCCCCCCACCCCTCATCAACCATGAAATATTTGGTCTGTATTAAGTGTATTCAAGCGAATTTAAATAGAGACATTTGTCAAGCGCTCTTTAATTTAACTGACTATAATGTTTCGTTTATTCATTTTGACAGATAAAAAATATGTTAATGACAACTTTCCTTCAAATAACTTTTTCAGGTATAAATCCCATGTTTGCTTAAAATGTCTTGAAGCATTAAACAGATAATTTGCTTTAATTCTAACCAACGTCCAGTTAAGGCGATACTCGATACTCGACTGTACGTAGAGATGGCTTCGATTGTGTTCTATCCTGGTTATTGAGAGCTTCATATGACTTAAAATTTTCCGTTTTAGAATTTTGGAATCGGAAAATATCAAAGCCACAGTAGTTTTAACGCTCAGTTCTCATGGCTGAAAACGTGAGCGACATTCTCAACGAGTCTCTCTCTGGAAACTCTGCGAATGTTAAAGATTTTCGTCCGGTGCTTGTCGCTAATTGTGTCCTAAACAGCTTTTTGTCCTATACAACCATCATTTTGAACATTGTTACCATCCATGCGATAAGGAAAACCGCATTGTTGCCAAAACCTTTGAGAACATTATTACTGAGCCTGGCTGCCTCCGATGTTGGCGTTGGTTTGTTGGCACAGCCGCTCTACATTTCTTCTTTGGTCTGCTCGTTAAAACGAAAACGTATCGACTGCATTTCCAACGAAGGATTGTTGGCCGTTATTATTTTATTTTGTACATCCTCGCTCTTTAGTGTTGTAACCATAAGTTTGGACAGGTTCTTAGCTGTTCATCTTCATCTCAGATATCAAGAGCTTGTGACTCACAAGCGCGTCCTTGCAGCGGTGATATCAATATGGCTGTTAAGCGCAATTATTTCTTCTAGTGTCTTTTGGAATCCATTGCGTGTCAGCTTACGAGTCATTGAGCTCGTGGTTGTGACTGTTTGCCTCATTCTAGTAGTAATTGTCTACTGGAGAATTTATATAGTCTTAAAGCGACACAAAAACCAGATTCAAAGCCTTCAAATCCAAGAAGTACAACAGAGTGTTCAAAATGGCGACTTATCAAACTTTTTGAAGTTAAGAAAGTCAGCTCTCGGAACATTTTATGTATGTATTTTGTTCTTTATATGTTATTTGCCTTTCTATATTC